CAGAGCCGCCGCTTCCCGAGAGGCTCTTCCCGACGGTTTGTCCCGGCTTGGAGGAACAATAGGGCGCTGGGGAGGGGGGCTGCCCCTTTTTAAATGAACCTTTCACGTTAGGGAAAAGACTGAAGAAATTGTGTCAAAGTAATCGCTGTCTTGGGCATATTACAATCCCGTCTTACGCCTACATTTTCGCTGTTTTTTTTTTTTTCTTTTTTTTGTTATCTCACACTCTCCTTTTCCCCTTCCTGGCAGATATTTTTGTATGAAAAATAGATGAAGCTAATTCAGTCCCCCCCTCCCCTGGTATGAAGGCTGGTTTTCTTGCAGAGTGGCGATTCCAAACAACAGCACAAAAACATGCAATCACAGGAGTTGAGGCGTTTTGTGGAAAACAAGAGCAAAATAAATATGATTTTGTGTCTGATTTCATTTTAAAAATTAAGTTTTTATAAAGATGTCCTTTTTTTGTTGTTGTTTGTCTTCCCTCCCCAAACAAAGTCCACGATAGAAATCCGGCACGTGTGGCTTCCAGTGAGCCGATCCCATCCTCGGAGACTGCTAATATCTCTTTACAATATTCACAGTAATAACAAAGAGAGAAAGGAAAGCCAGTTCCAGCCTCTTCAGCTTCTGCCACCTTCTGCTTTCTGCTGGACCATCAGTTATCAAACAGGTGAGCTCTTCTTTTTCCTTATACCTGAGGGGGCAAAGTGCATTACAGGCACCACTCCGCGTTGCTGCAGAAGACCCATCGTTTGCAAGGTTTTAGTCCAGCATTAAAAGTTACACCACGTGGGCGCAAAGCTCTCCTTTTGCCATTCCTACGCTCTCCTCTTTGCAGAACCTTTTCTCGCTTGGTGTTGTCTTAGGCAAAGCCCCATGGTCTCAATCTCTGGGTGGGTGTCTTGCTCACCGGGCCTTATCCCATGGCTGTAACCATGCTGGAGGGGTGCGGGTGTCCGAATGAGATGCTAGAGGACGGGTGGATGGGGGTAGGTGTTGGTAGGATGTGTCCAGAGTGGCTGAAAGGTGGCAAATGCCCCATGGGCGCCATGTGGCTGGCGAGGGCAGCAGCGCTGAAGGGAGACGATTTCTCCTGCATGCACTTGGACAGTTCCTCAAAGCACTCGGAGCCTTTCTTGCTTTTCTTTGATTTGTTGGACATTTTCCTATTCCTGGTCTGAATTCCTTCCTTTTTCATGGTCAGAGGCCTGTTCACCTGCAAGAAATGAGAAAATCAGGCTCATGCAGACAAAATGACCTTATTGTGCAAAAATGAAAATATTTGGACAGCCCCCATGTGTTTTTCCTGGATGGAGACCTTTTTTCTAGCCAAAAAAAATGGTGTTTCGCTCTGCAGAACTTGTTTATATTGATTTGTTTAATAAAACCACACACACAAAAAAAACCCTAGACATGAAAAACAAATCGAAGTGAATTTGGCAGCTGATGAGTCTCCTTCCCGTAGGCTTACCCCCAGTCCTCATTCATTTCCTAATAGGAGAGCTCAAACTAGGAGGCACACGTTGACCCAAATTCACTCCTAAGACAAGAGCAATCTTGTACCAGTAACCTCTGTAACTTACAGTTTAAATAATGTTCCAACATGTCAAGTGATTCCTGCTTAGATTTAATTTCTTTTTTTTTTTTTTAAAAAGGCCTTAGGTATACTTGTTTCTTTAAAAAAAAAAAAAGAAAGAAAGAAAACAACACAAAGATGCCCTATTGGGATTAATTTTTGCACGGAGCGCATTTCAAATGGCCTCTATGTTTCTGGAAACCGCACACAAAATGTGCTTAGTTAAAACCAAGTGTTGTAACTCTATTTTGCCTGATTTGCCCAAGCGTTAGAAGCCAAGCTAATACATTGTAATGTCACTGAACTTAGCATCACTATGCCTACAAAGAATGGCTGTCACTTCCCAGGGGAACCTTAGAGACGGGGGAAGGAATAAAACAACAACCCAAACCCTGAAACCAATAAAAGGCCGCGTACACCATGCAGTTAAGACATCAATCGCGGCCAGGCACGCAGCGACACATGAGACGAGCAAATACTCACATTGTGCAATTTATAGTAGAGTCCGCAGGCATTACAAACCGGGTCCCCGTTTGCATTACGTCGCCATAAGGTCGTGGTGGTTGTCTGACAGTTGGCACAACAAGTCCCTGCTCTCCTGGCCGCTGACTAACCAAAAGAAAAAAAGAAAATTAATAACGTACCGGCAGGAGGAGGGAGATCACAGGAAAGGTCAGGTTGGGCTCAGCAGTGAGCTTGGGCAGAACTAATCCCGAGATTTTACAGAGCATCAGGGCTGAAGGAAAGCGCCTGTGGCTTTTACGTTTTGTTGCCGTCGGGTTTGTGTTTAAATGCGAGTATTCTGCGACGCGGAGCGCGGCTCCGAGCCCCCTGGCACCACGCGAGCGGGCAAGCAGGGAGGGAAACAATGCAGCGCTTTTTAACTCTCCAAACACAAAATTTGGGGAGGGAAAAGGACAACTGATTTGTGCAGTCTTCCTTTTGCAGATTCCAGAAAGCATCCTGAAAGTACATGCGCCTTTTTTTTTTAAAATACCTATTTAGTTTATGCCAATGGTGGGAGTGAGTTTAAAAAAAGGGAACGATCTTAAAGAATGTGTTTTTTACCCCTACTCTGGCCCTTTAAAGAAGTCCACAAAAGAAAACCAACTGCATTGCTTAACTGGGTGCAGTATTTATCAGAGCCATCACTGAAAATTCAGTTTCCATTTACAAGTGAAAGGGAGAAAACAAAACCGGCTCCAACTTTCTTTAAATATTTAGCAAACCAAATTTCATGCCTCGGAGCAACGATTCCGCTGACCCGTCTGCCGCCTCTGTCCCTGCTCAGTTCCTACTCGGCTCCTCAGCTGACAGGCCCTCAAACAACCCGCTCAAAGAAAATAAATTGGACCTTTCTAATTGGCATTGTTCTGCTGAACTGGAGATGGGGGAAAGGAAAAACACCCCAAATGTTGAACTCCCCCCTGAACAAGAATTGGCAAAGGAGCGAGGCCGGGGTGGCCGCAGGAGCCTTTGTGTGGCTGAGCCTGCACTGGGACATGCGCCGTGCACGGGGGATTGCTCAAGTGTTCCAGGATGCGCTCGGTGCACCCCGTATTTTGGGGAGGAATTTCTCGCTAGGAAACTGCGGCCTTGCCTCGGGAAGCGGCCAGCGCACGGCCTCTTCCGTGCAATCGCACGAGGGACGAATATTTTCTCTCCCTAAATGCGCACGATTCCCTTTCCAACGCGTGTCACTGGCGTGGATTTCCGCAGGGCCTGGCTCGCGGGGCGAACGCCCCAGGGCCCACGGAGCGGCAGGGAGCCCCGCGCGGCCGACGCGCTCCGAGACCCCAGTTCTGCTGCCGGCTCCTCCTGCTTTGCACCAGCTGCCCCAAACTGTCCCCAGGCGGCTGGACGGGCCTGCGGACGCTGCTCCGCTCCGCTCCCTTCCTCGCTTGTGACACCGGGGTGTGGGGAAGGGGCACCCCGGCTGCGGGACACCCGGGCGGCCCACGCACCCATCCGATCGCTCCGCGCGCTCGGCAGGTTGAGCACGTCCCCAGGGACGGCCAGCGCATCCCCCCAAAGCAGCAAACTACAGAGGCCAGAGGGGCAATAAAAGTTAAAAATCAATTTGAAAAACCAAAGCATTTCAAAGCAACAGCTAAACTACCAGCAAGTCTCCCTGGTCCGCCCGGACCCCTTGCAGCGAGCGATGTCTAAGTGTCGCAGCGCACGGGAAGGTGGAGACCTCTGTTTGCATATTTGAGATGGCTTAGTGATATTCAACTATGCTGCTTAACTCCACGGCCTGTCCCATTCAGCCGGGAAAGCACTTGAGCCGGGGAGACGATAATGTTACACTGTTGTCTTAACATTTTTCTATATGTCAGTCACTTTCGAAGGCAAGTCATTAAGAAGCTCGCATAGCTGGAATTCTGACTCGCGACAGAAATCTGTGTCCCGTCCCCGCGCTGCAGCACCAGGGCCAAATTCCTGCTCTCTGCCACGCTCCCAGGCTCACCTAGACAGACCCACCAATGGCCAAGAGGTTTAGGCACCATAAATCACAAAGCTCCAAAAAATGTATTTATTATTCTTAGCATTTTACGCATTATTTGTGGAGTGGAGCGTATTAGAAATTTGAAAACAGCAAGCACGACTGGCAAGGCTTGCCTATAGAAACTCTCTAAAGCTTTTAGAGTCAGGAAACAGATACACAAAGTTTCCTTATCTTTAACGTACAGATATCCGGATAGGAAACTACTACCAGGAGCTTAGAAAGGACATTTTTTTTAAATCACTCAAATGAAAATACAAAGTATAGGTGACTCCATGGAAAAATAATAGATTTTTTTTTAAAACAGTAGGGGATTGTCTGGGGAGGGAACCAATATTAATATTGCCAGAGAATATAAGAGTGAAAATTACTTCATGGCTTTTATACAAATAATTATGAAGTAGGGAGCAGTAGCTTTGACTCATCTGATTTGTTTTGCTTTTTAGAGCTGGAACTTTTTTTTTTTTTAGCACACAGTGGAGGACGTTCTCACTCCTAACCCTTTCACGACCGGCAAGCTCCCCGAAACGTCCCAAGGGGCCGAATGAATGAGGAATTAAATTAAAAGCTGTCAGCCGAGGATAAACGGGGAGACGGAGACGCGACGCAGCGCAGGGAATCCCGCCGGCAGCGCGCGGGGCCGCGGCACCGACCTCCCCACCACGGACAGACGGACTGATGGACGGGCAGAGGGACGGGATGGAGAAGATGCGACACGTTCTACATGTGCCTGCGTGGGGTCCCCTTAGCCTCGTTTATCCCCGAACCCAGCAGAGATGGAGACACCTACCAGCCTTCGCTTAGGTTTAATGAGAGGTCGGTTTTGACCGTTCATTTTGTGGTAGAGCCCGCAGGCGTTGCACAGGTAGTGCCCAGTGCCGTCTCTTCTCCAGAGAGGGGTGGCAGTTGCTCCGCAGTTCACACACTCTCTGCCTTCTAAATGGAAACACGAAGAAACCGGATTTCTTTCTTTAAAAACAAATTCACAAAAGCTTTTTGCATTGTCCTTTAGGCATTCTCCAGGAGTCAAAACAGTGCGTTAAATCAAGCGCAATCAGACAGCAGTGACATCTACAGCACATGCAGCGAGGAGCCGAGCGCGCCGGCAACACCCGGCGGGCGCTTCACGGCAAGGGGCAGCGCTCCCGGCAAGGTGAGAGGGACGCTCCGAGCGGGAAGGCTCCGCTCGGCACCCGGAGCTCCCGTCCCCCGTGCTCGGAGGGCTGCGCGGTGCCCGCAAGACACACACACACCTGCAAACACACCAAGGGTGGGAAAAGAGAGGAAAAGCTTCCCTAGAACTAAATCTAAGCAAAAACACCCTCTGTTCTCTGCCTTTTTTTTTCTTCTTCTCTCTCCTAAGGCTGCAGGATAAGAAAGTGCAGCCGAGCAGCCACAGCAGAACACACCAGCTCCATTAGGATTCCTGTTCTCAAGGCATGAAGCTGCTGCAAATGGTGATTTATAAGAAAGTTCAGTTGCAGCAAGCACTGTGGAAACAACTACAAAAAGCAGATTTTTGGGTCCTTTTTCTGTGACTTTTCCACAAGGCATTTTGGATGTAGTAGGGAGCAGTTTACCTCATTGCTGTTTCACTATTAGTTTTGGGAAAAAGACGTGGGAAACACAGCGTTGTGGAATGGGGCTATTAAAACCCAGCATGTCGCTCCTAGATATCTATTTCTGCCTCAGAAAGCTTTCTGCTAAAAGTTCATTTGCCTCGGATGCTTCGAGGGCAGGTCTGCTTAATATAGAAAGCTCTCTTAATATAGTTTATGCAAATCCGACAGTATTTAACTGCAGAGGAAATTCTCTTTTTTTGCTAATAACTGAAGCAGGCCATGCCGAGTTCAGTGGGGCTCGTGTCTCCTTTAATCTAGAGAGCGGGCGACTTTTAAACAACACAGTCTGCAGTGAAAAATGAGGGGAGCTCTGCGGCGCTGCCTTCGGAGCTTTTGTCCCTGCGAGGGCAGGAAGCTGCAGGAGTCATCGTGTCGTGAGTCTTAGTTTTCCTACAAAAACACTGAGTGGTCACGAACTTTCCCCAGTTCCTTGCACAAGGGGCTCCCTTACAGAAAAAAAAAAAAAAAAAGCCTAAAACAAAACAGAAAAAGCCCCTCACTTCCCCACTCTAATAAAATCATTGTCAACTACAGGATAGAAATAAAAAAGCCATTTCAAGATCCATTTATTTGCAGAGACCTTGGTCTTGAATCCATTTCCAAAAAATCAGTAGGCTTGGGCTACTAATTTCCTTTACATAATTGCTGCCCTATTAAAAAAATACATATACATAATATCGACTGCATTTAAATAATAGGAAGGGGGGGAGTGTGTTTTTCCCTTCAGAGGAGCCATTTGAAACAGAGCTGATAAGCTTGTAAAATATCTGATATTTTTGTTGCAAAACTCATAAAAAAGATCGCATTTCTAAATCACAGTCTGCTTTAAAAATAAACGTGGGGAGGGTATCCATAAGCATACATGTGCATTGATCTATAGGAAATAAATACACACAAGTATATGTAGCCATTATATTTCTAAAATACAATCCAATCCAAACTCGGTCCCTCCACACTGTATTTAATTTCCTTGCATTGCAGAGGATGTTAAACCAGGGAGGTTAGTAGAATTGCACAAATTCTCTTAATTCGTTTGCCTGGTTGTAGAGCTGGGGAGATTTCAAAGTGAGATCAAAACTTCAGCCATCGCGTAATTTGCTGATTTAGGAGAGCACTTTTAGGAAAAAACCCAGGGAAGAGTTACAGACAGGGGAAAATCTGCAATCAGTTGTTAGCAACCAGAGATTGTCCAGTTCGGGGGGAAAAAAAAAAAAGGAGTATTTTCTAGTTAGCGTGGGGATAAGTTAGCAATGCCTGGGCACCTTAGTCTTTCGCACTGGTATGTAAACTATATTTGAACTTTTGCTTCTGCAGAACGTGGAGGAAATAAGGCCCTCTGCGATTCGCAGTGGACCGGCCGGGTAAGTTTCGCTTTCACCCTGCGCTGGGGCCTGCTTTCCTATGAGCGAGAGACGCTGAAATGTTTTGAGAAAGAAAAACCTCTGGCTAGAAACGCCTGCCATGGAGCCTGCGGGATTTCCACGGAGCCGGGAGGGCACGGCCGGGTCTGAGCACCTCGGGCGGTGGGAGCCGGACAGGGGCTGCTTTTGCCCGGAGTGAAACATTTTCCTGGAGCGAAGCGTTTTCCTGGAATAAGCCCCATTTGCAGCGCTCGGCTCTGCTCGCTCTGCCCTGCTTCCCCACGGAGTAGCCCAGGCTCCGGGGCATCTGTGATGCCTCTGTGGACATTTTGGTACCACCGACACGTGGGATGAGCCCCATTTCCTAGTTTAAAAACCCAGGAAAGCGGGACCAAGCGGTCACCTGCCCTGCAGTCCTGGCTAGAGACCAAAGGGGCTTCCAGCCCCGCAGCTGCCTCCAGCCTCCCCAAAGAGCAAGCGAAGCGCAGGCACCACACGCACACGCACAGCACCCCAGCCCGTCCCCCCGGGGACGCCCCCGCTCCGCGCTGGGGTCCCCAGCGTGCAGCACTTACCCGAACAGGACCTGGCCTTGCTGCGGGGCTTGGGGGTGAAGCTGGACGCGGGGCCCCCCAGGAAGCTGCCGGGGTGGAAGAGGCTGCTGCTGTAGTCGTGGGCGGCCGGCACGTACGAGGGGTAGGTGGGGATGGGGTGGTGGGTGGAGGGCTGGGCCCCCATGCTGGTGAGGCTGCTGCGCAGCGGGCTCGCGCTCTCCATCTTCATCCCTTCCGACAGCGACACTTGGTACTTGATGCCCTCTTTGTCCTCCTGCCGGGCGCCGGCGGAGGAGGACGGGGAGGCCGCGCTGGTGGAGGGG